TGTAATTAATTAGTTGTTTTACTTTCATTTGAACTTGTAATAGTTAAGTAATAATGTAGTTAATTCATTTCGGTTTGTAATAATTAGTTTAATTAGGACATTCATTCGGACCCCCTTGTACGAGGGAAAATTTGTAATATTTTGTATGTCTTCCAACCCCCATTTCTTTCTCCCTTTTACTTACATGCTTATTGTGGTAGTATAATGTTTTGATTTCATCTCATTACCATGATTTGTATCCATTTTTGCATGCATTGGGTTCGGCTCATTCTAATATCATTGTCATTTCTTACTTGAATACGTGCGCTACCGCATGCTTTGAGTTGATCCATATGACATGATAAATAAGTCGAACCAAGTAGTTGTATTTTGTATGTGTTGCATTAGTCACTTTGCATATTAGAAGCATGCATTTTTTTTTTCTAATTATTTTCTTTTCTTTGGCTTGCCTCGGTTGAGTACTAGGTGAGCATTTTTGCTTTAGCATATTGCATGTGTGTTTGTGTTGCCATATCAAGCATACTACCATGAGGCTAAGTGCTTATTTGAAATATCTCATTGAATGCCTGTGGATGAAGGCTAAATTGGGATGACTTTGATAAATGTACATACGAGCTTACTTGTTAAGTAGCACATATTCAAAACTATTTTCAAACAAACATAAAATCAAAGCATTACAAAGTGGGTGACGTAGTCTATACTTGTGTGCCTCACATAGTAAAGTTAGCATTAACAATCAAAATAAGAGCATGTAGTGTTGATAAGAATCACATCATCATTAGTAGAGGTCGATCTTTGATCGGGTGAGGGGGGTGCTCAATTCATGACCTTCCCCTCTCATACCTAAGTTCCTGAGCCAAGATACTTTAGTTATGATAGACAAGTGCCCTTTGGCACGAGTCACGAGTTTCCTAAATTTCCTAAAAATATTTAGGTGGTGACTTTGAAATCTGGCAATGCAGTCTATTTTTGGCATCTCTGATACTTGATAGATTTTTTAAGATTTTTCAAATTTGGACTCTCATTTGTGTTTTTTTGTTTCATATTACACTTGTGAAACCAGATTCAGAACCATAGGGGTTTGAACTATAGGGCTATCGCACCTGATGAGACTACTTGTGAAACCAGATTCAGAACCACAAGAGTTCAAACTATAGGGCTATCGTACCCGAGGAGACTAAACCCCTCCGAGGAGTGCGAAAAACCAGCTACACTTGGGAACGTGAGTTGGAAGTCCGGGAGAAGTATCTGGACTTATTTGTTGGTACTTGAGCATGTTTTGAGAATTTTGTTATGTTAATGTAATGTAAACATTGTATATGTTTTGGAAATGTGAATTGTAAATTCTGTATTGAGAACTTTTTTATCATGTTGATATGAATGAATGATCAGTGGATGGGTCATGGTAATGAGATTAGTTGATTATCATTGTTGTAATTGGTTTAAACTTGGTTTTAAATGTTTGGTTTTAATTTTGGGGACAAAATTCTTTAAGAGGGGAAGATTATAGCGATTCTGGTTTGGACCCGAACCATTTGATGTTTTGGATCTGCGTTTCATTGCCTTGCATAGTCATTTATCTCTTATTTTCCTTATACCTCTTTGAGTTTGGATTTTGGGTTGTGTTGGTAGCGTTTGGAATAGATTGGTACCTCGTTTTTCAAAAACCTTATTGCCCAGAATTTTGCTTCTACACTCGAGCATCACTTTTTGCGCTCGAGCGGGCTTTATAAACTCTCAGTACTTTTGTAGGTCTGCAAAACTACTGGAAGTTGGTATTCTTCACTCGAGCGAAGCTTCTTGCGCTCGAGCGTTGGTCTTTTGTCTATAAAAGTACTAGGAGTTTGTATTTCACGCTCGAGCGTCAACTTCTTGCGCTCGAGTGGTTACATCTATTGTGTCTTACGCTCGAGCGGACTGTGCGTATATTAGTCCGTAAAAATCACTTTTTATTTCACTTTTTCATTTCACTCTCTCTCTCTCTCTCTCTCTCTCTCTCTCTCTCTTTCTAAAAACCCTAGATCTACACACACACACTCTCTCTCTCTCTCTAAAACTCACATTCTCTCTTCTAAAACACCTAGATCCATTGATTTATTTACCCTATGCCCTTTGAGAAAAGGGTAGTGCTCACTTGGGGCATCATTTTCATCCGAACAAAGTTGGGTTTCGGCGGTGTTGAAGTTTCTTCTCTCTCTCTCTCTCTTTCGTCTCGTAAGCTTGAGGTGGGGATTCTTCACACTCTTGTATAAGTTTTACCTTAGTTATTTACTATTTCAAAGAATTATAGTTGTTTAGGTTGTTTTGGTAAAACCCAGGGTTTGAAATCGAAATGATAAAGAGGGGTTTTCAAATGGCCTCTTGGAAAAGCTTGTGGGTATGAAATTGGGATTGATATATGTTGAAATGAGGTATTTCCTACATTGACATTGATTTTCAAAGAGAAAGGGGTTTTTGCACAAAAATGTGAATGCTTGAGATTGTAAAGAGAAAATGGAATTGACATGGAAATTGTGAAATTGAAATGATGATAATGATGAGGGTGGAGTTGGATATGTATTATTACTCCCATTTTGAGATTGTGGAAAAATGTATCTTTAATGAAATTTATTTATCTATTTAGAGATATCTATTTTGGGTTATCGGTGGAGGATATCTATGAGTGCTGTAGAAATTGCATGAGAATTAGGTGAATTAAAACTAATTTCTCATCCTTGTGCATTGAACATTGTTGCGTATTTACTACATTGAAAATGTATATGATATTGGAAAAAAGGGGTGAACGTTGAAAAGAGGTGTGTATCACCAAATCAAGTTGGCCTGTGTGTTTAGGGTGAAAGTCTTGAAAAATGTGTGTAGACCTAGGTGTCGGTTCCCGCGGATGAAATATTTGTAAAATGGCAATAGTAGCGTTTATATAGGCTACGCTTACATGGGTTCCATTTGGCAGTTTTTAGCGAACGAAATATCCGTAAAAGGTTATATTAGTTTGAGATTTCCCTATTGTTTTCTATTATAAAGGACATGACTTTGAGAATTGTGATATAAATTGGGCATGTCATTGTTTTTGGAAAGAAATATAAAAGGTTTTGACATGGGCATTGCATATGCATAAAACCTTATGGCTTTGTTAAGAAATTTAGCATACAATTGGTGTTCCCAAAGTAATTGTAAAAAATATGAAGATGCTTCTCGTGCTCCTCTTCAGATGGTGAATAAACAAGTATATCGTCCACGAAGACTACCACGAACTTATCAAGATAATCCTGGAAAACTCTATTCATTAAATCCATAAATGTGGCGGGAGCATTAGTTAAACCAAATGGCATCATAAGGAATTCGTAGTGGCCATATCGTGTGCGAAATGTCATTTTAGGGATATTCTCCTCCTTCACTCGCAACTGGTGATAACCCGATCTTAGATCTATTTTTGAGAAATAGCGAGAACCGTTAAGTTGGTCAAAGAGTTCGTCTATCCGGGGTAAGGGATATTTGTTTTTGATCGTGGCTCTACTTAACTTACAATAGTCGATGAATAGTCGCAACAAACCATCTTTCTTCTTGGCAAAAAGTGCTGGTGCTCCCCATAGCGAGGTACTAGAGCATATAAAACCCTTGTCTAACAATTCTTGTAATTGCTCCTTTAGGACAAGTAGCTCTGCTGGGGCAAATCTATATAGCAACATGGAGATGGGTGTCGTACCAGGCACTAGATCTATAGAAAATTCTACCTCACGATGAGGTGGTAACTTGGTGAGATCCTCAGGAAAAACATCTGGATACTCACAAACCACCTTGGGAAATATCCTCTGAACTATACTACCCTCATCATTGGTAATAGTTGCAAGAAGAAAACTAAGTTTGCCTCGATTTCGCAGGTCATACAACGGTGACAACCCTTCATCAACTTTATCCCCCAGAAAATAAAAACAATCTCCACCAGAGGTACATATCGTAACCCTTCTTCGGTAACAATTTATAATGACACGATAAGAGGACAACCAATCCATACCAAGAATGACATCAAACCCTGACATCTCCAATAGCACCAAATTAAAAGGGAGTTGACATTCAACTACCTCGATTACACACCCCCGACACCCTTGATTTAGAACAACCTGACCCTCGATTGGTGACTTAACCATGAGTGAAGACTTTAGTTGTTCTACTTTTAAGCCCAATGTGAGTGCAAATGCAAATGCGATAAATGAATGTGATGCTCCAGTGTCTATCAATACGTTGGCCTAAGTGTTGTAGATAAGATAAGTACCTCTCATCACTGATGGTCCAGATGATTGCTCAAAAGTAGTGACTGCATAAACTCGCCCTTGGGACCTCTGTTCACCCCGATCTCCTCTCAAAATGTTGGCCGATTGTGTTGACTGCGCTAATGTAGCCCCTTGTACTGCCCTTGATGTCTGTCCAAATTGAACCAATTGATAATTCTGCCACTAACCTTGGCCTACCTAATAACTCCAAAAATTTCAGGATCCAGAAGCACTCGCCATCTCGATTAGTTGTGGACAAGATCTCTTCATGTGCCCCGATTGCTTACAATGGTAACATGTAGGCAACTGGTCGTTTCCCTAGGCTTTGCTTTGAGAACAAGGTGGGTGTTGATGAATAGGATTCTGTTTACACTCAGTTGCTTTGTGACCCTACTAACCACATCTGAAACAAGAAACATTGATAGGACCAGTCCTTCTAGAACTTCTCACAAAAATGGACCCAGATGGCTTAGCTTGTTGGGGCATAGACGGGAAAGAAAAAGAAGAACCCTTAGATTTCTTGGAAGATCTGGTATCACCCTTAGATTCAACATAACTCGCCCTCTTATGTGTCTGCCTAGCTTCCTCAGCCTCTAACATAATCTCCATATGGGCTGCAACCTCTACCAGTCTATCATACTCCCTATACATATTACCCATCACCTTCATCAGAATCTTGGGTCTCAATCTCTTCTCAAATTCTAGACACTAACGTTCCACGGTCACCACAAACTAGGGCGCAAAACGTGCCAGCCTAGTAAAAGTGGCCCCAAATTCCGCCACTGGGGTGTCCAACTGCCTTAGCTCCTCAAATTGTTTTCTTAACCTCTCCCTAGACCTGGGAGGTAAGAACTTCTCTTGGAAGGTGTGGGTGAAGGCCTCCCAAGTATGCTCTACTCTATGTTTAACGAACTTCCACCATTGACCACCCTCCCCTTTTAACTGATAAGCTGCCAGCACCACCCGAAGTTCTCTATCACGGATATCTAGGATCACAAATGACCTAATAATCTGTTTTAGCCATTCATCCACTTTTATTGAATCAGGTCCACCACTGAACTCGGCGGGGTTAGAACGGAAAAATTTCTTCTTCAAGAAAGAGACTTGAGTTTCCCCCTCAATTGTCATTGCCGCTTGCTTGGCTTGGAGTATTTCCATGGACTCACGAAGAGCCCCTACCTTCTCTGGGGCTAATGCCCCTATTGCATCTTGGGCCAGAGGAACGGCCACATCATTTTGCCCTACCTCTTCTTCTTGGAAAGGTAAATCTTGCTGAGCCAGCATATCCTGACTACCTCTGCTTGGCCTACCATGACCTCTATCACATCCAGACATCCTACATAGAGGTAAGAAGGAAAAATTTAACTCATAATCCATACACTACATGTTAACTCACATGTCACACACGAGTTAGACACATGCCTATACAGATACTTAGGTCACTCAAAGCAAACCTCATAATCATAAAAACATATAGAGCACACACGCGTTACTCCCTCAAGATCCCGACTAGTCCTATGGCACTCAACGACCTCCTAGTGGAAAAAGTATTGATCAGGTGCCTTTCCAAAAGGATTTCGATGACTGGAATAGACATAAGTCATATCCCAAGAGATTAACTCCATACCCACATAATTACACAAATAGGCAAAACACTCAAAACAAACTAACGTCCCTTGCTAACATGATAACCCTATGCAGTAAAGCTGCTTCCTACGAGCTCCAGGTGTTCCAACCCAGTTTGCTCTGATACCAATTTGTAATGCCCTGACAAATGAGCCTCCCAATTCCCTCTTTTCTTCCGGGCATTACCAATACAAGATCAACAACAAAAACGAAACAAAATAGTAAAGATATATCATTAACAACATTCCTTCCCTTTTGAACTATTTCCAAGTTTTATAACATTGTCTCATTACATTTATAAACAAAATAAAATAGTTTAACAAGTAAGGAATGATACAACAAAATCAGCTACCGTTCATTTTCTCCTCAAAATTTGTTCCTTGTTACATCAAAATACATGTCTACACATAGTCACCCAAAAACTGCCCTTGGCATATGCATAATATGATTTCAAACATTAGCTTTCACATCCCAAAAGTTTTCTTCAACTCAAAACATTTACTTAGCAGGCACTTCATCGTTATTTTCCTGAAATTAGTTAACATTAATTGAAAAACACATGATCATGCAATGCAATATTTGGTAAATTCTATTATGTATGTGTATGAATGTTGTATGCATGAGTATGGAATGACAAAGTTAAGGTTTTTCATGGGCGGTAAATATACTATGACATTCCTAGTAAGAGCCGCAATTCAAAATTCATACATAGTTATAGATTTTGTATGCTGAAAATAGTCTCATATTTGCTGACTCCAGAAACAGCGGGGCGATGGGCACCCAAAAACGTTTTTCCCTTCCATATTTGCTGACTCCAGAAATGGCGGGCTTATGGACACCCAAAAATATTTTCCCACATTCATCCGGTGATATGCGCAAACAGGACAATTGGGCACCTTGACTCCCCGTGCGGGTACCAAATACAATACACAACTCAAATCAACCCGAATCACTACCAAAACTCATAAACTATCTACCCCCTTTCAGCTTTCTACGGTTCGTACCATTATTGTATCATAAAAGAAATATAACAATGCATGTGATGCATGAATTTGTAAATTCTCATTTTCCCCTAAATGATTCCAATGCACACAAAATTCACTATTTCACTTTTCAATAATAACAATTGTTCATTTAACAATAATCACTAACACAAGGTGTATGTAGAAAAACATTTCAAATCATACATTTCAACCTCAAAGTTAAGCAATTACCTTCAATTTCATGTTTTTTAAATCAATTATCTAATCCTACTTGTTCAAGATATCTAATACTCATAATTTTATTGACAAAACAGAGAAATGGGACTCTAATACTAATTTAAACACAAAATATTTTTTAAAGACAAAGAAAAATTAAGATTTTTCTGTAATAAAATTTTATTAGGTATTGTCTTTTATTAATTTGTAATACTTGTGGACATATATTTCATTTTTGTAATTTTTTTCAGGGACTAAATATGTTTAAATTAAATATTTTAGGGACTTAATAAATTCAATAAATAATTTAAAACTAAATGGATTTTAATTTATATACTTTAAGAACTAAGTAAATTCAATCGATAGTTTAAGAACTATATAGATAATTTGACGATAATTTAAGAGTAAAAAGTGTAATAAACCCTTGTAACAATTACATCGAATTACGATTTCATCTCTTGTTAGGGATTAGCTAATTTAGCCTGACTTTTTTAGCTTTTTAACTATTTTGGTCTGGTTAAAAAAGTTGATGTATTTGGAATAAATTTTAACTTTTTTTGTAGCTGATTTGATGATTGTGAGAGAAAAAAATAAAATAATTATGATTTGATTGTGACATTTTATCTTATGAGTTAAATTCACCTATTTTATCTTTAAGTGGACTTATGTAGATCTTAATAGGTGGACTTATTATCCAATAGATCCCATGATAATTAACGACATTTTTCATCAAACCCGATTAGAAAATGTCATTAATTGTTAATTTTTAGCAATAGTTTGAAAATTTTGTTACAAAAAAGTCACTAATTATAAGTTTTAGCGACAATTTAAAAAATTTACAAAAAAAGTCGCTAATTGTAAATTTTAACCACAATTTATAAAAAATGTGACAAGCAAATGTCACTAATTATTAATTTTTAATAACATATATAAAAAAATATTCACAAAAAATATTTTAAATGATGATTTCATTAAAGGAAAAATTACTCATAAATCCCATATTGGGAAATGTTGCTCTATCTAGTCCTGAGTGCTTTTTTGTAAACCATTTAGTCCTTTTTATGTTTGGTATGGCATCTTTGTTTGTTATATTTTATATTTGGTATGGTATCTTTGTTTGTTATATTGTATAAACATCAATATATTGCATCCCATATTGGTGTATGATGATGTTTGATGAGGTTGAAGATGTAGTTGATGTTTGATGATGTTTACAATGTTGATGATGTTGATAATGTATGATGATGTAGTTTATGTTTGATGATGTTTTATGATGTTGGTGATGTTGATGATGTTTGATGATATTTGATGATGTAGTTGATGTTTGATGATGTTCACAATGCTGGTGATGTTGGTGATGTTGTAGTTGATGTTTGATGTATCTTTGTTTGTTATATTGTATAAACATCAATATATTATATCCCATATTGGTGTATGATGATGTTTGATGAGGTTGAAGATGTAGTTGATTTTTGATGATGTTCACAATGTTGGTGATGTTGATGATGTAGTTGATGTTTGATGATGTTTGATGATGTTGGTGATGTTGATGATGTTTGATGAGGTTGAAGATGTAGTTGATGTTTGATGATGTTCACAATGTTGGTGATGTTGTAGTTGATGTTTGATGATATTGATGATGTTTTATGATGTTGGTGATGTTGATGATGTAGTTGATGTTTGATCAATGTTGATGATGTTTTATGATGTTGGTGATATTGATGATGTTTGATGATGTAGTTGATTTTTGATGATGTTGTTGGTGTAGTTAATGTTGCTGATGTTCGGAAATGAGGAAAATCTAAAAAAGGCCTATAGTGAGCTTTTAACATTCAAATAGGACTTATTAGTCTACAAAATAAAATACAGAACCAAATGATTTAACATATTAAAATTTGAAATTTATTGGTGTTTTGCCCTTTATTAAACTTTCAATAGGAAGAATTAAGTTTAATTATTGAAACTTAATAGTAATTTACCTTTATATTCTTTATTGGCTAATTTAACACCAGTCCTCACATTCTAAACTCACCCAAACATAAAACCTTCGTCTTCAACCCCAAAATATTGTTTCACTCTATTCAGTACACTCCACAAATCGATCGATTAGAGCCACCAAGGCTCGGCGACGCAAGCACGAGCGATGGAGGGATCGATGGGCTTTTCGTCCTCCTCGACGTGGATGATTCGGGTGAAGATTAGGCGCTTGGCTTTGAGAGAGACAATGCAATGGGAGCTAGCGCTGCCATACAAGCGAAGCCGGAGGGCGGTGATATTGGAGGAGACCTCGGCGTTTGCACCTTTGGCTTTGTTTTGTTATTTTTAGCCGAGCATTTGTAGATTTTTTTTTCATATTTTAGCCAATTTTTTTTTAGATAAATACATCTAAAAAATAAAATTAAAATAAAAAATTAATTAAAATACGAAAAATTTTCACTAAAAATAAATGAAAATCTGAATAAAAATATACACAAATTTTGTTCGAATTTTCGTTCATTTTTAATTTTTTTTGATATTTAAATACATTTTTTTTTTTACTTTTGAAGAAGTATAAAAAAAAATATTTGAGTAAAATATGAATTTTTTTTATTAAAAATAAATGAAAACTTATGTAAAAGTAATTTTTAAAAAATGGATGTTTTCTTGGATTAAGGTTTTGATGGGAGAAGGGAGAGACGGTCAAACGACATCGTGTAAAATGTTTTTGGCCACTCTAGAAATACTTCAGGGATCCGAACGCTTTACTATTTTGATTGAATAACTTTGGTCATTATTAAATTATTTTTAAGATAATGTCAATGACTTTGAAGTATTGTAGGATCATATTAAATTATATGCTTTGTTTAAAATAAATGTTCAACAAGTAGAATTTTTTAATATAAGTACTATATTATTTTCATTTTGCAGATTTGCCAAATTCAGCAATTTCACATATAAACCAACCTGTATGGAATTTATTAGGAGGAATGATTGAATTATTTATTTTTATGTCCTGAAAATGATTTTTGGGTTAGTGTACATGTAACTGAAGTTTGTGACTTGGATAACCCACAAACATAAGTTTAACTAATCATTTGACAAATGAAACTAATAGATTGGTGGGTGATAGTATTTCCCACAATTGTGGGCTTTTGATCAATAATATAGAATACAGAAGACTTACCGGCAGGAACAGGACCAAGATTTTATCATTTTAGGGTTCAAAAGACAAATAATATTTTTTCACCATATAAATAAACACACATGTATGTAAAATACAATATATAAATTATATATATATATATATATAATTCAAATATTGTATTTTACATACATGTGTGTTTATTTATATGGTGAAAAAATATTATTTGTCTTTTGAACCCTAAAATGATAAAATCTTGGTCCTGTTCCTGCCGGTAAGTCTTCTGTATTCTATATTATTGATCAAAAGCCCACAATTGTGGGAAATACTATCACCCACCAATCTATTAGTTTCATTTGTCAAATGATTAGTTAAACTTATGCATGTGGGTTATCCAAGTCGCAAACTTCAGTTACATGTACACTAACCCAAAAATCATTTTCAGGACATAAAAACAAATAATTCAATCATTCCTCCTAATAAATTCCATACAGGTTGGTTTATATGTGAAAT